ACCAACAATCTGCACACAGTTAAGTCAGATCTGTTAAACGCAACATTCAGGTTATGGAACAAGACTTAAGTCCAGAGAAAGCCAGAGGTGGACGAACAACTAGAACCTTCTGTAGGAGTTTACATGTCAGTAAACGTGAACAAGAATGTATGTGGGGAGACGAAGGATCCAGTTTTGTATGAGAGATATTGGTCTGTATGTTGACAGACTTCATTTCTGCTGTCGTTTCTTCTGTTCATTATTGTGTGTGTTTATATTCAATGCAATGCCTTTCAAGTACTTTATCATAATAAATATTGAAGTGTGGAAGAGAGAGAAGAGAGCGAGAGAGAGAGAGAGAGAGAGAGAGAGAGAGAGAGAGAGAGAGAGAGAGAGAGAGAGAGAGATTAATACTTCCAGTTACATAAATACAGGTGGACTTGACAATGATTGTAACGTGTAACGTTTTGTTATTTAACTGGTATGTGGTATATGTATGTTGTCTGTATTATTATATATTGTATGTATGTGTCTCTGTATGTTGCATGTACATTGTATTATTATATAGTGTATGTATGTGTCTCTGTATGTTGCATGTACACTGTATTTATTATATATTGTACGGATAAGTCTCTGTATGTTGCATGTACACTGTATTATTATATATTGTATGTTTGCTACTTTGGGATTAGACATAAGCTCAATAAGCTACAGCTTGGGGCTTCACAATGGGCTGGGGCATCAAATTAAATTTTTTTTTCTTAATAATTTTACATCTGGGAAATCAAGAGAAAAAAAGTGGTGCTTTATTATTATCCTATATCAAACATGGGATATCCACAGGTCAAGGGACAGTCTAATATTTCAAGAGGTGGTAGATAGGCTGCATGAGTCGTGTGAACCTAGGCTGCACTCTCTCGTGGGACGTAGGTGGGTTGGGGTTAGGGCCAGTTCTAGATGTTTTAGAGTCATTAAAAGCATCAGAAAGCCGGGAAACCCAGTCTTACCACCCTCTAAAATGTTGGATGGTCCTGTGACGTCATCTGGAGTGGGATATTACGAAAGAACCAAAAATGCTTTCAGTTGTGACTTATTTTAAATTTAAATAATGTGGACACAAACAAAACACTTCACAATTTATAACCTGGCATATTTTGCTGTATCTGGCCAGGTGCCTTACTACAGTTACATCAAAATACAATCAAGCACAAAAATGCATCCTTTTCACTGAAATACATAAATTGCAGGTGTCAGAGAACTCATTTTGAAGTTTTCTCAGATTAGTTAATTTAATTTCAAATGATTCTACGCTTTAGAACAGCACATAATCGATTTCGCAGCCACATGTACACAAAATTTAAAATCAGCGAATCAGCAATGTGCACATGTGGAATGGCACCTGAGACAACAGATCATGTCCTCCAAGACTGTCCCTAATACAAACATATCAAGACAAAACTTTTGGCCAAGAGAAACATCGGTGCAAGTCAAACTTTACGGGTCACTGTGTGAATTACAAACATCGTAAAGTTTATACTAGAGACAGCATTGCAGATATAAATAATTTATTTCAAGCGAACGAAAGAAGAAGAGGAATTTTAAAACGTTACCGGTCTCAAGACCACCTAGAGTCTCATAAACTGTAACAGTATGTTGTGACAGAATTGGTTGTGCCTTACGCAGCATTGCGTGTGCAGCTGCAATCTATTGTAATGGCTGCTTCCACCATTATTAAGATATTCAAACATAAGTATCAGCGCCGAGAAACAGGCTGAAGCAGCATATTTAACTCTCTGGCAGGCACAAACCAACAGAGACACTGTCTGACAGACACACACACACAAAAACACTCTCACAGACACAAACCAACAAAGACACTCTCTTACAGACACAAACCAAGAAAGACACACTACAGACACAAAGCAACAAAGACACTCTCTGGCAGACACAAACCAATAAAGACACACTGTAACAGACACAAACCAACAAAAACACTCTCTGACAGACACAAACCAGTAAAAAGACACACTGTAACAGACACAAACCAACAAAGACACACAGTCTCCTACAAAATGTCTCTCACAACAAATTAAATCAACTGCAACAGGCAAAAAGCCAAAATCAGTCTGGGCAGCAGCAAAAACAGCAAAGTTGAATACACAACACTAACTCATGCCAGCCAGAAGACTCCTCAACGGGTGTCCAGTCAGCTGTAAAATTTACATACAAATTATACAACCAGTCAATATTTTTTTCTTCATCTTACAGAAAACAAGAATATCAGTTAAATCAATGGTATCCAACCTGTTTCAGTTGGTGTCCCCCCACCCCCGGTATATAGAAGGTTTCCTATGCTTCTTTCCCGCAACATAACAAATGTGATTAATATATGTTTTAAATCTAAATAAATGCATGTGTTATAAATCAGTTTTTTAACCATAAATGTACAAAGTGCTCATGACAATACTGAGTCCTCGGCGTTTTATTTTATAAATAGTTGAAAACATACTTTAATCATCACTAAACTGAAACGGATTGTTGCCAAGACAAATGTTACTTATTTCAAAAACTGTTTGATGCCCTCTAGGCTGGAGACCACTCAGTTACATAAAAAAAAGCGTAAAATAAATGCCATGTCATGTTTGTCGATCGTAACAATGGAAACAGTCAATAATGAAAGGACCCTTTCTGCGGCAGTGGCGCATCAGATTTATGAGGTTAGAGACTCATATTTTTATAAATTAATCAGCACTTCATGGGTGGTGATGTCAACATATACTGACTGCCTTTACTTCCCTGGACACTGCCTGGTACCACGTATAGGCACAGGTCTTAACTGGCAGCCAAAACAATTCTGAAAGAAAATAAATCCACTCGATGAGGATTTGACTCCAGCACTTTTTGGCCTGCAGGTAACAGTGTAGTACAGTGTTTATTTGACCATCTACAGTTTTGCTGCTTTAGCTACTAAGTAAGTACTTGGTGCAGCACTGTGAGCTGCATTCTTTTATGTGGTATTCATTATGGCCGGTAGCCCGTTTACACAAGGGCTGGCCAAATACCTCATGTAATAAATTAGCATGTATAGCCAACTTATCGTGCCTGACTATTTCTTTTAACGACAAACTGCATTTTTTGGTGGCGACTGTTGGGTTTGGCACCTCTAGCAAGTGCATTATGCATTTACTACATCCGCATACTTCTGGATTGTGTCGGGACTAATTGTTTAATGACCAGTTTTCTCAAATGAGACGGTAAGGGACATTTGATTTTCACTGGCACAGGACCGGAGCAAGTACGGGGGTGACCCAACTGCAGTTAAATTGAAACCTTGACTAAGACTATTTTACCATATGTATGTTGAATGATGAATTAGGAATCGACATCACAGCACTCAGGACACCGTTATAAGCACTCCATCCCCATCTTCAGCAGCAAGCGTAGAGTTAAAATTCTGATGGTACCAGTAATTGTCTGATTGTATATCCGTCTTGCCTTTCCCCTGAGTGTCGAGTGTCGACCAGACCCCCTTGTAACTTATCGCCGTGCCATCCCCATCCAGTAATGACCTACCTGTGCCATGGCACTGTTCCCACACAAGATCCAGCTTGTTATACATCAGTTCACCACTAAGTGGTGCAGAACTGGCCAGTCCATCTGCCTGCTCATTTTCCAACACACGGCATGACCAGGAGAAAATATCCAAAAGATGCTAACCAGCCAGGACCTTTGAAGTGATGCTTGCAACTCTGCACGGAGCATGCCTGTCTCCACCTTTCTCAACACCTGGATGTATGTAACAATAGGCTACATAATGACACGGTGTAGGGTTGCTTTCATTAGCAGAATGAGTGCCCAGATAATTACGTTGTGCATAGCCATGAAATAATCTGTCACAGAAGTCAGTTTTGAAACTTGCTACTTCACTCATACACTTGCTACTTCACTCATACACTTGCTACTTCACTCATACACTTGCTACTTCATTCATACACTTGCTACTTCACTCATTCACTTGCTACTTCACTGCTACTTCAGCTTTATTTACTAATGAATTTATTCAGGTTTCCCCCTTTCACTGATTTAACCAAAAAAAAAAAAAACAATAACAGAACGCTCATTCACTTGCTACTTCACTCATACACCTGCTGGACTTACGGGCATGGTTCTTCAACCTAGACCTTTATTTACTAGGTTCATGAATTTTTTCAGGTGGAACGATAGAAATGCAATAGTACAGACATGTCCAAGTGCTTCTGAACCCCAGAACTTTTTACAGCCGGTGAACGCGAAGAAGAAGAGTAAGAAGAGACAATTTGGGTAGGAAAGTGCGCGAGGCGGGAGATCTGGCAAGAGATCGAGGTCCTATAGTGAGGGCTGATCAGAGCGACATTCCGCAAACAGCCTCTCCAAAAACAAAACTACAGGGGTTCGTACAGGGGAAGAGAAGAGGGAGACCAAGAAAGTTCTGGATACAGACTCTGGCAGAACGGACAGGCCTAAAACATACAAACATAAAGTCTCTTGCATCTGATTGACAAAGACTGAGGGAGCTGATTGGGCAGCCAACAGCAACTGGTGACCCAAGGACACTCAGCATTATAGACTATAACAATGATTACATTTTCCAAGTTTTTCCTCTTATAATGTAGCCTTAAATTATAACCACTTCTCTCTAATATTTGTAATAATTTATCATGTATCTTATTTACTTCAAAATATGTAGATTACCCAGGTAATTTTTGCATTTACAGAAGAACCACATCTCTTTGGCCCCAGGTTGCAATCTCTGTTAGGGGATGTAAATACATACAGTTTAGAAGTGCATCTGGTTGTCTACCCTTGGCTTCTGCATGCTGAGAGGCTGGACCCATGGATTACATGCCCATGCATTAAAAAAAATGTTCTATTAAATTATGCAGCTGTGAATCTCTCTCTCTCTCTCTTTTCCTCTCAACTCTCACACATTCAGGCACAGTTTCTCTCTCCTATAGCGCTGAGCATAATCAAAACCTCAACAGTGTCCCCAGGAATAAATAAATTCTGGACACATAAAACAATAGGTAGGTGAGATATGATCCTGCCAGGGAAGACTATCATATAAATTTCATACACTTTATAAATGCTGATTAGGAAATTTAATGAGCGATCATTTGAAACCAGCTAATTATAATCAGGTCATAGTCATATGATAAGTACTGACCAATAAATCAATATAAGTAAAGGACCCTTTTCCATGCCTTTAGACGTACAGGGCATATAGGGCTAGACCTATATTTTATAGACCAATCAGCACAAGATGGTGATGTGGTCATCACGCTGGTCGCTTTACTTCCCAGGACTGCACCAGGTACTCACTCAAGGGTGCGTCGATCTAGGAGCCATGATCATTTTGGAAAAAAGTCAATCTCTGCCAGGGAGTGAACCCACGACCTTCCAATCATGAATAAATGAGCAGGTGCTTTTTGTCGCATGATGCACAGGGTCTGTTTCTGATTGTTGAGTAAACGGCGGAGTTTTCAAAATCCGTTCGAAGAAGCTTACATATTGGTGATTTAATTTCTTTCTTTTGAGAAGGGCAAACAGTAGTTTGAGTGTACAACCAGGACAAGAGACACAGAGTGCTTGAGATCCATTAAAGCCAACCTTTGTGGTGGAGATGGCACCTGATTGATTGATAACTGTTAAAGATTTATTTCTAAAAAATCCAAACCAAACTTGGTTCTGCTTGTCACAGTACAAACACATACAATGCGTCATCGTATACAAACACATACAATGCGTCATCGTATCGTCAATACCAAAGTGTTACTTGTGATATGAGTACAAATAAATAGTTTGATAGCGGGCATTGTCCCTGTAGCAACATCCTGGCGTGAGTCTTGGATTATCTCGAAGTCACTAAGAAAACAAGGGGGAGCTTTTGAGTGGAAACAAAAATTATCAGAATACTATGAAACAAAGAAGAAAAGTAATAATGACATCCTAAAAGATCTGAACATCATATCAAGGAAGATTGGCTAGTGAACAGGATCTTATCCCGGAAAGGGAAATATTTTGGAAATATAAAACTACAAAGCGGACTGGAAAAATTAATAGCAGGAAGCATGGTACCAGTAAGAAGAGGCAGGGGCTGACCAGCACAAAGATGGGCATATGATATAAGTGACTCCCTGGATATAAAGGGCACGAGGCGGGAGAGCTGTCGAGAGCGAGTTTATTTTAGGCAGACAGTTATAAGAGCAACGTTCTGCAAAGGACCTGCTACATGATAATAATGACATGAATACAGACATCTGCTAAGAGAAATAAAATCATTTACAAAAATAGTTCTCCTAGGTTTGGCTTATGATGAAAACATTTGTTTATTTACCACAACTGTAAATAATGAATGACTTGGCACCTGCAGATATCAAACTATTGCCTGCTGAGAAAATAGTTTCAAAAATAACCCTGAGCTTGAGCTGTGACATGTATAAAAATCTGGCCAATAATAAGTGTTAATACTGACTGGCATATGAATTGTACTTGTGATGAATGTTATGGTAGAGACAGCTGTTTCTATGGTTACCCATTGCCAGACTGAATAAATTCAGCTGTAAATTCCAGCAAAAAGTACTGACTGTTTGTCCACTTCTGTACTTTGATCTTGTTCTAGAACCCGACATACAAGCACGCACACAACACGTTCACACAAGTAGGCATGCTAAATTAATTTTTGTTTAAAAATAGTGTTGGAAACACAGATTAAGTGTGCTTAAACTTATGGCAATGTGCATTTATTACTTCAAGTTCATGTTGAGACAGGATAAAGCTGTTCAGAATTCTCTCTTCTACCTTGAAATACAGAAGTAGTTAATAACTTTGTTAAATCTTCCCTCTTCTAACACAGACTTGCCTCTATCCTTAGGCCAATATGTGAAAAATAAAAAAATAAAAATTTTTTAAATGTTGTTTGGTTTGGGTTGGTACAATCATAAACTGTGGTAGTAGTTACTCTAATGCAGGGCCATTCAGCTCAGTTTACTCCGGGCCAAACTGTTGGAAAATGGCAATCTTCAAGGATCAGAGGCCTGAGTCCCAGCATAGCAAAATCATTAATGCAATAGGCACGGGATCCGCGGGCCACTTGCTAGGCCTGTGTGGGCCACCAGGCGAATAGTCCTGCCCTAATGTCATGCCACTGTGATGTTCCACATCTGTAAAGGCCATGATTCAGTCATAAACTGTGGTAGTAATATCCCCACTGCGCAGCTAGATAATGTTCATACACAACAGATAAATAGTCCCAGGTTCAGCTACACATGTATTATTGCACAACACACTGCTTGCTCTTCTGCCGATGTCGGCGGTTTTTCCCTGGACCGGACGGACTAGTCACTGTCCCGCCAATGCCCATGTCATCCACGTAGGTGATCTTGCTGGTGCTCCGTGGAGAGAAGTGATAGTCAAAGTCATCGGAGCTGCTTGAGCTCGAGCAGGTGCTGCAGCGGTCATCATCAAAGTTGCCGTACATGAAGCGGTCAGCTGCGGCGCTGTCCAGGACAAGTGGCCGAGACAGCTGGGCAGCACGGTGTGTCCGTGAGGATGATTGGTGGTGAGAATGGCCGTGGCCATGAGACCTTGACTGGGTCATGTTGGACGAGCTTGGATGTTGAGACAGGGAATTCCCCGGTCTGCCTTCAAAACTTTGGCTGCGAGGGCAACCTCGAGCCTGACTGCTGGATGGGCGGGACTGACTGCTGGGTGGCCGTGTGATAGGATTCATTTTGCTACCGTCTGGAAGAGGCAGGCCAGATACATTCCTCGGATGGGGCGGTGGCCTGGACACGTGAGCAGCATCTCTCTTTTCAGAGATTAAATGATGAGGAAGCTCAGAATATGAGCGAACAGATGTTGGTGTGGCCTGACGATAAACTGGGCAGCCATGAGGAGAAGTCACACCATTAGGTAGTAGTGGGTACGCACCAGTGCTGCTCAGTTCGACAACATAGTTGCGATTGAAGTGATGCTGGAAGTTGCCGTGATTGTTGCTCTGGTGCATCATCATGATAGCAGCTGGAGACATCAGGGTGCTGGGGTCCTCTGTGGGACAGTGATGAGGGACACTGACCGATGCATAATGAACACTGACATTTCTCTCTGACCCGGACTGACTAGGAATATCACTGCTGGGTGAGAGTGGGTCACTTTTGGATTCTGAGTGCAGACTGGCCACTTCCTGGGCTGATCCAGGCTCATCCTGGCTGAGGTCTGGCATGGAGAACTGAGACAACCTGTTCCGGTGTTTTGCTTCTTGTAGAGGCAATGCATCTACGAGCCCATCCACATTAAGTGCGTACAGAGACTCTGCTTCCTCTTCTTCTTCATGCTGACCTGCATGCACCTCAAACATGCCTGGAGCATACACCTCACTGTTGCTGCTGGTCGCATACCCCTGATCCCTGTCCGACGATGGAAGACTGTCCGGTAACGTGTACTGTTGCCTGAGAACCTCCTGTATCCCTGCACGACCTTCCTGCAGGACATGACTGACGGGTGAGCTCACCCGAGCCTCCTGCATGCTCACCAAGTAATCCTCCGGTCGGCGAGGAGTCTGTGTTGTCATGGAGCCGGCCCGGCTGCAGGCGGCTGAACAGTATATCACTCCGTGCTTGGGCAGAAACGGCCGGCCAAGAAGACTCGTCTGGCACGTGTGACACCGGAAGCACATCTCTGAGGCGTGCCAGTGCTGCCCGTCGTGGGTCATCTGCCCCTGGTCCACCCCGATGTGCTCGCCACAAGTGTCACAATACTCTGCAAACATATTTTCAAAACAAGAGCAGCAGTAAGGCCGTCCATCACGCATGATGTAGCGCTGACCGCCCAGCTGGCGGTCACACTCCAGGCAGCAGAAGTGCTTCATGTGCCAGCTACGTCCTTCAGCTTCAGTACATTCATCAGCAAAGATCACCTGTGAGAAATACAAACACAACACATCAGCAAAGATCACCTGTGAGAAATACAAACACAACACATCAGATCACCTGTGAGAAATACAAACACAACACATCAGCAAAGATCACCTGTGAGAAATACAAACACAACACATCAGCGGGAGAAATACAAACACAACACATCAGCAAAGATAACCTGTTAGAAATACAAACACAACACATCAGCGGGACAAATACAAACACAACATATCAACAAAGATCTGCATTAACAGACATAAATATTTTACAAAAACATATTTCCCGCATGGGTTCCATGAAAGATCACCTGTGAGAAATACAAACACAACACATCAGATCACCTGTGAGAAATACAAACACAACACATCAGCAAAGATCACCTGTGAGAAATACAAACACAACACATCAGCGGGAGAAATACAAACACAACACATCAGCAAAGATAACCTGTTAGAAATACAAACACAACACATCAGCGGGACAAATACAAACACAACATATCAACAAAGATCTGCATTAACAGACATAAATATTTTACAAAAACATATTTCCCGCATGGGTTCCATGACCCGATTTTCAGGAAGGGTCTGGGTATGAATAGAACTAACAAATTTGTTACAGGACGTAAGGACACCCTCAAAAGTGCTCTCAATTCTTTTGGCATCAACATAGCAACATGGGAGGCTGCTGCACAAGACCGTTCTGGATGGCGTGCTTCCCTCAGGAATGGTGTATCAGCCTACCAGGCTGATACACCATATCGCTAATCCCATACTATATTGGTAATCCTACACTTAACTTGCAGCTTGCACCTCTTGTCTGCACTGCTTAAGAACTTTCCAGGCTCATTTTGGACTAATCAGCCACCTTTATACTCATAATCATTGATCATTAGTACTTTGGATGAAAAGTGGTCTTCATCACTCGTGATGGAAGAACAACATGTCATAGGAGGCGACTCATTAAGATGTTTTCTTTAAAGTCAGAGTGTATCTGCCTGAGAGGCAAGGAACCAACAGTCTGCACACCAATCAGCCAGATCTGTAGAACAGATGTGCAACAGTATTCGAGTTCTGAAATAAGACTAAAGTCTGGGAGAATATTTAGAATTTAACCATAAATACACATAACCAGGTTCCAAAATGTAGATTAGAAACAATTCAGGAAACAGGGACGGAAAGAGACTGAAACAATTCAGGAGAAACTACAATATCAGGAGAAACACAATCATGACAGTGCACAACTTTTCAATGATGGCCATCATAAATAATCTTAGCTCGGTTCCAATATGCACCTGCCTAGTGTTACTCCATGTGCCCTTTCCCCCTCATACTATTCCCCTTTGTACTCATCTTCCCTTTACCTTGTGCAAGGAGACAAATCCCCACTCCTTTCTTTTCTCTCTCCCACAAACACAGAGGTATGGAGGATATCAGAGCTATATCGAACATTCGCTTTGTATTTACTTTGTATTCGCTTCGGGGCCGAATAGTGGACCTAATAACTAATTGGTATTTGTCCGAATACTTGAGGTCAGGCCAAATACGAATAGTGGTTACCTTACACCCGCTTCTGCATACTCGGCCTTAATGCTGACAAAATGGAACAATTGGTTTTGTTGAAAGCTAATGCAGCTCTCATGAATTAACTAAGCTGTCAGTGACAATTTACACGTTCAGTTACTTGTTAAAATACTAAAAATACTTTCATTCCTAGTTATTAATTACCACAGACTGACTGAAGGATGCAAAACATAAATTGTTTTTTAAATGTTTACTATTCTGCAATACATTTTGTGAAGTAAAAGTTAAGCGTACATTTGACATTATTAATGTTTTTCACATCTATTTTATACACTATACACCGTATTCAGCAGAATAGTTGGCCCCGTTATTTGTATTCGGCCAAATAGTGATTATCATCTATTTGGTAAGCTCTAGAGGATATAACTCTAGAGGATATAATATAAAAACTTAATTACCTATTATTAGGTTAAAATATAATTTTTAAAAAATCCATGAAATCATAAATGAAGTAATTATGAAAATATGATCGTATTTTTTAGAGCTTTATCTCAAACAAATCTGTTAGTCCATCACAATTGATGATGATCACGCTTTCTTCCATCTGTTGGAAACCTAGTTGACTACGAGTTCAGGGGTGATTTATAAGCCCAATATGGGCCCAGAATAGTGCCGACTGGTTGGTAAAAATATGGGTGCTCTTCCTGTATGCCCGACCTACCGAAAGGTGTAAAAGGGGATCTTTACTTTTACTTACTTATGGGCCCATAATGCTGTAGGACAATGGGGCAGGGAACAGTATATGTAGGTATAGGGCCTGTTTTAAGCATCTTTCTAGTCTGCCTTTGCTGTGCAGCTGCCCTTTTTAAACCCAAAATTTTTAAAAAAAATTAAATTGTGATGGCGAGGGAGAGAGAGAGAGAGAAGATTGAGAAGGATTTTGTTACAATGAAGGGGAGGATGAGAGACTGAGAAAGGGAGAGACAAAGTGGTAAAGCACCTCTGAGGGGTCTCTGCAGCAAAGGGGTCAAGGCACTAGCGTCTATAGGTGGTGGATTTTTTTCATGGACTGCACCATTCTGTCCAGTGATGCTTTTACAGACACCTAGAGACTATCGCAGGAGCTGAGGCTTTCAGGGTTTGTGTGACACTCTTAGCAGGTAGCTCTCTGCAGTGATAGAGAGAGAGAGGCTGACCGACAGAGAGAGACAGACAGACAGACAGAGAGCTACATGATGTCAAACCTAGTGCAATGAAGATCTTTTCAGCTGTGATTTGGAATCTTTGAATTGTGCAATGAGACACGTCAGGCTAACAAAGAACCAAGAGAGAGAAGAGGGAGAGAGAGATACAGAGTGAATGAAGGCAGAGAGGCATCTCTAAATACCCCCAGAGTGCAATGAAAACAATAAAAAGCATAATATGGGCAACAAAATGTCTATACCAGACTACCTATTTACATTACATATCTAATAGGCTTCTACTCGCTTACTGGATGGACTTAACGCCCAGCACATTTTTATGTTATGTTTGTGAGTTATGGCCCTTGCCTGTCACCATTTTTTTCTGGCTAGTATTCGTTTGTTTTCATATGTGTGTCGAAGCTTCAACTGGCCAGACAGACATGGAGATTTTTTCTCAGAGATGCATCAGTTAAGTGTTTATGTGTACTCTTGTTTCTCAACCGTACCAGTATCTATAAATACCAAGTGTTGATGAAGGCTTTATAGCTACAACGTTCTTTTGTCGCTTGTGGTTGTTATAATTAATATAAAGCTGACTAGTTCTACTTTTTGTCTGTGTTGATATCACCTCCTGTTTTTACAGTTTTATCCAATATTTGTGAGTTATGACCCTTGTCTGCCACCCCACCCACCCACCCCCTCCCCCCCTTTTGGGGGCTAATATTCATTTCTTGTTTTCACAAGTGTGTTGGAGCTTCAACTGGCCAGACATACACGTGGATTATTTTTGGAGATAACTCATTTAAGTGAATTTAGGTATTCTGGTTTGTAACTGTAACAACTGCCTATTGATGCTACTTGCTGATGTAGGCTTCATTTGTCCTGTGTGGTTGTGATAATGTCAAGGCGACTAGTTCTACTTATCATGTGGTCTGAAATCTTTGCATACCTCATCACAAGCAGCACATCGAGGCTTCAGTAGCTCGGCGTGGTGGCGGCCACAGTAGAGCTGCCCTTCGTGGTAGAAGTAGATGAGATCCACCAGTAGCTCATTGCAGGTGTGGCAGGTAAAACAGGCCGGGTGCCAGCAGGTGTCAGCCTCCATGCGTGACACAAACACAGCCACGTCGCCAGAACTGACATCTTGTGGGCACTAAGGGTAGAAACATGGCATGATGACTTGACATACCGACTGAGAGAATACAGGAAGGATGGCAAGATATGGATGGATGGATGGGTGGATAAATCAATGGAGAAGTAGAGAGATATGAAGAAACAATTAACGAGTGAAAGAAAGAAAAAAAAGGGGGAAGAAGAAGGAAAAAATAAAGAAAGTATGACAGAAAGATCACCAACGAGATTATTCACAAAATCTCACCTCTAAAGTCTCCAAATGATCTTTCGCTGCTGTTCAAAAATAACTGCAGCAAACAAATGCCTGAACATATATTACATATCCTAGAAAAGGGTTACTTAAAAACAATCTCTGCAACTTCCGCAGCTCATCTTCCACAATGAATCCAAAATACCACTAACCCCTATAATATATATATATATATATATATATATATATATATATATATATATATATATATACTATATATATAATATTATATATATATATATACAATTGAAAACTACTTGAATATTGATTGTCCCACTATAGGCTAAATGTAGATCATCATAAAACTGATCATGTGAACCAAACGAGGCAGCCTTGAAACGAACCCACGACCTTCAGGGTGCGAGGCAAACGGCTTTACCTTATCACCATGGAAAGCACCCCCCCCCCTTCCTTCCCCCCAACTTTTCCACCAAGTGAAAAGTTTAATTTTCAATACTCTTTCCCTGCCTCCGTTTTAAATCTCTCACTCCCCCTGAGTGAATGAGTTTGACTCCTAGGTCAACACAGCCTTGAATGGGCCGCAGGTCAAGTAATTGGAAGTAAAGATGGTCGGCAGCAGTGAAATGCATAAACATTTTCACAGAAGCTACTAGTTTAAAAAGTCACAGGTACGTGCCATTTCCCGCCATATTTAGATCGAATAACGTTGGCTATGTGTTGTATTTTGGTTATGGAAAGTGTCTGGAAGGTCACGGGAATCACTGTGAGCACCTGTAGTAACTCCATGCATCTCACGTAACTTGTATCCATCTTTTCGTGTCTGAATAACTTTAGCATCAAAATCTGTATACGGGGTGTTATTTTCAAAAACTCCCTACAGCACACAGCTACCGTGATGTATTCAACGACTCCCTGCAACACATAGCTACCATGATGTATTCAAAAACTCCCTGCAGCACATAGCTACCGTGATGTATTCAAAGACTCCCTGCAACACATAGCTACCGTGATGTATTCAACGACTCCCTGCAAAACATAGCTACCGTGATGTATTCAATGACTCCCTGCAACACATAGCTACCGTGATGTATTCAAAGACTCCCTGCAACACATAGCTACCGTAATGTATTCAAAGACTCCCTGCAACACATAGCTACCGTGATGTATTCAACGACTCCCTTCAACACATAGCTACCGTAATGTATTCAAAGACTCCCTGCAACACATAGCTACCGTGATGTATTCAACGACTCCCTGCAGCACATAGCTACCGTGATGTATTCAAAAACTCCCTGCAACACATAGCTACCGTGATGTATTCAAAAACTCCCTGCAACACATAGCTACCGTGATGTATTCAACGACTCCCTGCAGCACATAGCTACCGTGATGTATTCAAAAACTCCCTGCAACACATAGCTACCGTGATGTATTCAAAAACTCCCTGCAACACATAGCTACCGTGATGTATTCAACGACTCCCTTCAACACATAGCTACCGTGATGTATTCAAAGACTCCCTGCAGCACATAGCTACCGTGATGTATTCAACGACTCCCTGCAACACATAGCTACCGTGATGTATTCAACGACTCCCTTCAACACATAGCTACCGTGATGTATTCAAAGACTCCCTGCAACACATAGCTACCGTGATGTATTCAACGACTCCCTTCAACACATAGCTACCGTAATGTATTCAAAGACTCCCTGCAGCACATAGCTACCATAATGTATTCAAAGACTCCCTGCAACACATAGCTACCGTGATGTATTCAAGGACTCCCTGCAACACATAGCTACCGTGATGTATTCAAGGACTCCCTGCAACACATAGCTACTGTGATGTATTCAATGACTCCCTGCAACACATAGCTACCGTGATGTATTCAATGACTCCCTGCAACACATAGCTACCGTGATGTATTCAAGGACTCCCTGCAACACATAGCTACCGTGATGTATTCAAGGACTCCCTGCAACACATAGCTACCGTGATGTATTCAAGGACTCCCTGCAACACATAGCTACCGTGATGTATTCAAAGACTTTCTGCAACACATAGCTACCGTGATGTATTCAACGACTCCCTGCAGCACATAGCTACCGTGATGCATTCAAGGACTCCCTGCAACACATAGCTACCGTGATGTATTCAATGACTCCCTGATGTATTCAAAGACTCCCTGCAACACATAGCTACCGTGATGTATTCAACGACTCCCTTCAACGCATAGCTACCGTGACGTATTCAACGACTCCCTGCAAAACATAGCTACCGTGATGCATTCAAGGACTCCCTGCAACACATAGCTACCGTGATGTATTCAAAGACTCCCTGATGTATTCAAAGACTCCCTGCAACACATAGCTACCGTGATGTATTCAAGGACTCCCTGCAACACATAGCTACCGTGATGTATTCAAAGACTCCCTGCAACACATAGCTACCGTGATGTATTCAACGACTCCCTGATGTATTCAAAAACTCCCTGCAGCACATAGCTACCGTGATGTATTCAAAAACTCCCTGCAACACATAGCTACCGTCACGTATTCAACGACTCCCTTCAACACATAGCTTGTGCTTAGCGTCATTGACTATGGTCTTGGCCTCCTCACTGTCAGCAAAACCCAGCTAGAAAGACTGGACCGAGTACAAAATGAGGGCCATGAGACTCATACTCGGCTGCACAAAAGACACCTCCTGCAAAACGCATGCGTTATGTCCTGGGTTTGCCGACGATGACTAGTAGATACAAAAAGTGGCACAAAGTCAAGGCTTACATGAGGGTGTATCGGCAGACGCTAACCACCCATTTTGCACAAAGCTATATACGACACAAAAGGAAAACGCGTCTCAAAGAGGCCGCTCTTGGATGGCAAAGGCTGAGAATTTGATCCAGCAGGTATGTGACCTACGCGTTATCAGGCACGGAAAAGAATGGATGAATACACCAGTAGACATGCATGTGACATCGTCTAAGGTTGTCATCACACTAGGAAGGTACTGTCGGGATCCAGATTCCTGCGGCCATAGACACAAAAGTAAGGGAACTGATAGATCAGCATTCAGACCCAGAAGATATCATCATCTACACAGATGGGTCCGTGAAGCGCGGTATCAAGGTCAGCATGGGCATACACAGCGCAAAGAAGGGGGGGCAAAAACAATACATGAAGATAGCGGCGCTTACCAGACAACCACGTCAAGCATGACCATGGAAATAGCCGCTGCTTCTAGAGCTTTAGCATGGGTATCCGAGCAAACCGCCACACAAGCAGTAATTGTCTCAGACTCAATGAATATGCTTCAGAAAATAGCAACTGGCAGGATGCGCTCTGAATGGATAGAAAGCATTCGGAAATCGCACTTAACTTCCGTAACCTGGATCTACACACCGGGTCATGCGGGCGTAAAGGGAAATGAGCGAGCGGACCAACTGGCAAGCACAACACTAATGATTGCGGGAAAAAGCATGGACAGAGCAGATATCGTTAACGCTGTACGTACTGGGCTAGTGGATAATATCGAATCCCTGACACTAACACGATTGCGTGACATGGGAGTTAAGCATGGTGAAGCACGTCTTTGCCGTCTGCACGAGGCCGAGAAAGGAGACAATATAACCAGCTTCTCATGGGGACAATTAGTAGAAGTACTTTGGAGTGGCTGCTGCTTCGGAGGACTGCGCACGCATGGGTATGTGCCCAATGTGCAGTGACGTCGATTGTGATAACAAAACACAAAATAACATTTTGTAGGAAGTCGGCATTCCGAAACCCAAGTTCAAGGTGTGTCTCCTTCGTGCCAAGAACTGCATGGCTGTTGGGTGAACAGTCGTTAACGAAGGCAGTCAGGTCGTTGTAGGGGCGACGCCTGCTGGTGGATGTAATGTCCTAAGTCCCTTTCCCAGCTAATAGTGAGGGTACTGCTGGGGTGACCATTTGTTAACCCCTCACATAATGCTTCAAGTCACAGTGGACGCTAGGCACGGCCACTTTTTTTTTTTTTTTTTTTTTTTAGCCGTGGCAGTTCTGCCAGGCGGTGGCCGTTGCATTTTTGCTCCATTTGTAGACTGGAAGGATATGGTTTCGTCACCCAGCTTCTGAGTTGAGTGCATGGTGTGACACTGTGAGCTGTGTGTTTTTCGTTGGCACAGGAGCGGAGCAACAATGGGGTGACCCGTTTGCTATGATGCTGAAACTAGGATTACCAGATTACCAGATTACCAACACATAGCTACCGTGACGTATTCAACGACTCCCTGCAACACATAGCTACCGTGATGTATTCAAAGACTCACTGCAACACATAGCAACCGTGATGTATTCAAAGACTCCCTGCAACACATAGCAACCGTGATGTATTCAAAGACTGCCTGCAACACATAGCTACCATGATGTATTCAAGGACTCCCTGCAACACATAGCTACTGTGATGTATTCAACGACTCCCTGCAACACATAGCTACCGTGATGTATTCAAAGACTGCCTGCAACACATAGCTACCATGATGTATTCAAGGACTCCCTGCAACACATAGCTACTGTGATGTATTCAACGACTCCCTGCAACACATAGCTACCGTGATGTATTCAAAGACTCCCTGCAACACATAGCTACCGTGATATATTCAAAGACTGCCTGCAACACATAGCTACCGTGATGTATTCAAAAACTCCCTGCAACACATAGCTACCATGATGTATTCAAAGACTCCCTGCAACACATAGCTACCGTGATGTATTCAAAGACTCCCTGCAACACATAGCTACCGTGATGTATTCAATGACTCCCTGCAACA